CTCTCTCTTTATCATCCAAGTTTATTTTCAATCGTCAAATCTCGATAACGCTCTTATCCCAATCTTCCTCTCAGGGTACTCATATCGCCCGAATCGATAGCCCTTCACCCCCTCCCCCTTGACTCTCTGATCCTAGGAGAAATTTTCAAGGACCCTCGCCGCAACATTGATTGGTGTCCTTCCTCCGTCCTCCTTGATCTGAACAATTCAACTCAAAAGAACAGCGAGATCTACAAACCGACCGGGTCTTATCTCGGTACCACATCAGACGCGACCGTCTCTCGCCCGAGCGGTCGCCCCCCTTCCCTCACACCGCACGAGACCGAATCAGTCACCATGGCCGATACACCGGAACCTTCGTCCACACAACAGAGCCTCGCTGTCGCACATTCGGCAGTCAGTGCGAACGCCGACTCCAACCGCTCTCTGCCGCGCAAATACACCGACAACACCACACAAACCCTGGAGGAATTAGCGAGGCAAAATATGGCTCCGTTCCTCACAAAATATCAGCCACGGCAATATGCGCCTTTGCGCTCACAAGTTTCAACTCCATCTGAGCAACACTTAGTGAATGCCAGCTATTGCTATCGTCATCAACCGGACTCAAAATGTAGCAGACGCCAAGCCGATGAACAGTCGATGACTCAGCTGCAATCCGATCTGAACTTACTTCCTCAAAGTGACCAACAGGGTATTTCCCATGTGTGGTCGTTGTTCTCCGCTGCTCCAGCGAAGCAGCGAACTCTCATGCTCCAGGGAATTCTGGCGCAGTGCTGCTTCCCCCAACTATCCTATATCTCCGCCAGTGTCCGCGAACTCATCCGGATCGATTTCCTCGCTGCCCTTCCTCCCGAGCTGTCCTTCAAAATTCTTCGTTATCTCGACACAGCCTCCTTGTGTCGAGCAGCGCAAGTTTCTCCCCGGTGGAGAGCCCTCGCCGATGATGATGTGGTATGGCACCGGATGTGCGAGCAGCATATCCGTCGAAAGTGTAACAAGTGTGGCTGGGGTCTTCCTCTTCTGGATCGCAAGCGTCTGCGCGAAGCCAAGCGTGAGATTGAATTGCGCGCCACCAACTGGGGCAACGACGAGCCTGCCGCTGGGCCTAGTGACACTGCAATAGTCGCAGCTTGCTCGACAGTCGAACCCCCAGCCAGTGGCAAACGCAAGATGGAATCCGATGACGAAGTCTCCGGCCTTGCAAAGCGTCATTGTGCATCGCCTCCCCAGTCTCCCGAAGAGGACGAGAGTTACTTCAAAACTCGTTACCGTCCGTGGAAGGAGGTTTATCGGGATCGATTTGTTGTCGGTATGAATTGGAAGCACAAGCGCTGCTCAGTCAAGGTCTTCAAGGGCCACAGAGACAGTGTCATGTGTCTACAGTTTGAGGACAATATATTGATGACTGGGTCCTATGATGCTACGGTTAAGATCTGGGACACAGATACTGGTGAAGAATTGAGAACTCTCAAAGGCCACATGGCTGGAGTGCGATGCCTCCAGTTCGATGACACTAAACTGATCACGGGAAGTCTGGATCGCAGTATCAGAATTTGGAACTGGCGCACAGGCGAATGTATTTCCAAGTACAATGGCCACGCCGAAGCGGTCATCGCCCTTCACTTTGATTGCACTCTTCTTGCATCCGCCTCTGTCGATCGCACTGTCAAAATTTGGAACTTCAAGGACAAGTCTACGTTCGTTCTTCCCCACCCACAGGGTGTCAACGCTGTCAAAATCGACTCCATTTCACGCACAGTTTTGACCGCTTGTGACGATGGTGCCGCACGTCTTTGGGACCTGGACACCAAGACTTGTATCAGGGTCTTCCATAACCACATCGGAGCCGTTCAGCAAGTTGTTGCTTTGCCTCGAGAAATTGAACTGGAGAATCACCTCGCCGACTGCGAGAACGACCACGTCAGCACATCTTCTCAAAACGGCGACAATATCCTGAGCACACTTTCCCCTCTTCTCGAGGCCAAGTCTCTGTCTCTCCAGAACTCACCATTCGGCTCCTCTTTTGATCAGGATCAAGGCCGCGTGGAACCCCCGCGCTACATCATAACCAGCGGTGTGGATACCACCATCCGATTGTGGGAAACCAGCACCGGAAGATGCCTTCGTACCTTCTTCGGGCATCTAGAAGGTATTTGGGCTCTTTCTGCTGATACCCTCCGGATTGCGTCCGGTGGCATGGATCGCATGGTCAAGATCTGGGATCCTCGTGTTCCTACCGGCCAGGATACCTATGAAGGTCACAGCGCAGCTGTCAACTGCATTGGCCTGAGCGACAGTCGCTTCATTACTGGCGGTGATGACTACCAAGTTCGCATGTACGATTTCCGGGCCTAGTGGCCAATATTTCTTTTCTTTTGTCTGTCAAAAATACCCTTTTGGTTAGATATTTTCTATTGTCATGGGATGGGGCCTACAACTGCGGCGCTGCCATCTTCTCTGTTTTTTATTATTGCATCTCCGGTGGATGAATGGATACCCTGGCGCATCAAGAACGGTGGTTTGGCCTCGCATATTGCCACTGACTGCATTATAGGCGCTACTGGATTTTGCTTTTACTCCTTGTTCTCTTCTGTTATATGTCTGGCCCCATGTTGAAAACATGTTCCCCTGTTTCCCTATGACTATGAATGAATTCGAATGAATACATATGTTTCTTTAATGACCTAGTACTTGATCCAAATCAATACTTATTTTCCTGACGACTCAAGCAACGGTCCGGGGGGTGGAAGCGCCCAACGGGACGGCCCCACTGAGACGGGGACTAAGACTGTTTGGGATTAAGATGGTAACCTTCGAAGCTTTTAGCTTCAATGGCTTGGACCTCTACCTTGGAACGTTTCTACCAAACTGATAGTCGGTCCCGGACCTACGGGCTTTTCCATTTGCTTGTTGGATCTACAATATACGTACTGTATCTTCACTACTAACCAAATTCTAGACAACGCTGGATGGCTTCCAGACTCTACTTCGTCTTTCGTCGAACTTTAACAGCGATCGCACGGAAATTTTGAACTTCTGAATTGGTGGCGGCATATATACTATGCTACATACGTTACGTTAAGTTATACTCACCGCGTTCATGATACTGCACGTGGGCTTCAGCGGTGGATAGATCTAAAATATATAGAACACATACCATATCGTCAAATTTACTCAAAAGGAAAACTTAAAATATCCCCTACTGTTGGTATCGGAACAAGCCTAGGTAATCTTGTGGTCATTTTTGGGTGCTCCGTGGCTGAAGAGGATCGGACCTCGCGCTCCTGTTCTCAATTAGGAGGAGCCCATCGACTACTATAGAGGACTAAATGAATGTTGACCAGCCTCAATATTCATGATTCATAATCACCCTACAAGCCTCCGTTACTCTGTTTCCAACTTTTCCACCCTCTATATCTCAATAAAAAGTTGGGGGGGGGGGGGGGGGGCGATATACTCTGTCCTTCCAAACCACAACAGTTATAATTACTATGGCGTACGCTCGAACTGATATTCGATCTGACTCAGAGTGGTCTTATCAAATGGATGATCTTTCATACATGAGTATTTTGAGCAAACCCAGAGAAATGGAAGCTAACATCCTGCAGATCGAGACTCCGTCGACACAGAAGTCTACTTAGCCCATCCGGAAAAGCTAAATATCGAAGCTGAATACACCTGGGGTTCTAGCTCTTCGAGCTCCAGTCCTGCAAACTCTAGCTTTGATCTCCCCTCACGGCCTAGCGCTCAGTCGGTTGCTGTTACTAGACAGCCCGGAAACCATGACAGCCACCGCTGGGCATTTTGGAATAGTTGGAAGCTACTCCCGACAGCAGTGAAGTGGTGTGTAGTTGTATTCCTGTTACTCGCCGCTATAGGTGTGGTGTTATGGTTGGCTGTCTCGTTACCCCCCAGACCAGCAAGGACCACATCGAAAAAAAGACAGGTAAATATCGAAACCACGAAGCTCAACAGCGAGAATGTCATACACCAACGTGCCTCGATAATAGCCCTGCCCAGCGACTCTTCCAAGATCCCTCTGTATACTGCCACGCCGTCCCCCCTTATGACCGCTGTCATTTACATCTTCATGGATCCTGCACGAATACTTTTCTGACCAAGGCCCATGTCGCTACGTCCACGAACGGTGTCGCCTTCCCCAACCCCTCTATGGGAGTGACGAGAAATCCAAGTGACACATTGAATACCGTCGCGGACAAATCAGCTAGAAAGAGGTTGCCGCCTGCTTGAATTCTAGACCTTGCCCTCCGGAACCAAGTACGAGGAGAGACTCTACAACGAAAGAGTTGGCCACGAGAGAAATATGTCTCGCGGATGTCGATATGCTACTTAAGCTCATCTCTAACATTTTACTTAGGTTTACTCGTCTGCACCTAGAATAACACACGTGATGGCTTAGAACTAGAGGGGAGAGAGAAAACGGGGAATGGAACAGGTCGGGTCAATTGATATAATGGATACAGGGTGAGATTGTGTGTGGTTTGCGGCCTGTGTTGGAAAATGTTGTTTATTGATATGAATGGATGGAAATTGCTATTGATTTTAGTATTACTACATTGTGTATTCCAAAGGGTATCGTCTCCTGTTGCTGCAGTTCCACATCAATACATGAATACAATTCTATCCTATTCAATTCAATTGTTCCTGCTTTTGAGACCTGGGTACTATTATCTACAACCTCAATCGCCTTACCTTTTTTTATCCTCCTGTCAATGGACTGCCACTCAGTATTTAAGTGGGTGTCATCTCATCTTCATTTCCAATTTACTTTCAGTTGTACAGCTCCAGCAATTGAATGTGTTGATATCAGCATTGCAGGTTGTTGCTCTGCCACTTGAACATTTGACCACCTGTCTTCAGTTGATTTAATATGACGAAGCTGTGGGTTGATTGCTTGTGATTATGATGATCCTGGCACTTTTTAATTAAACTTGACCGCAGTTTCTTCACAGCTCGCAGGAATTCGGCCATTCGCCATGGCATACTCTCCTGAGAGGCTCGCGCGAGCTCAGCAGTTGTTTAACCATAGAACAAGCGACTTCTACATATTGCCACACCTTACTGGCCCATATCACTTGCGAGAGCGTGCCTCTAAGCGTGCTGCTGCTGTTGCGTCGTGGCATGACAACGACGAAGATGAAGACTACAAACCTTCGACCAAGCGAACACCGAGCAAGCGCAAGCTATCGCTTTTCCATGAGGATGACCAATCCCCTCGGTCTGAGAAAAAGGCTAGGAGCCTATCTCCGACTTCGACGCTCCGTTCTAGACTGAGCCCAGACATAGGAGAAGAAGATGATGTTCCCCCTTCGACACCCTCCCAACACAGTGAACCCGACAGCTGGGACCGATATTGGGCCATCAATCCGGAGACAGACACGCCAAGTTCACGATACAGCCTTCGACGCCGCAACAAGGAATCGGTGTCGGCGTCACCACAAAAGAAAGACAAAACCAAGGTCGAGGCATTGGCATCAAAGTCGACTGCGGATGTCCTGTCTGCCGATAATAACCTTCCGGTGAGAGAGTGCGCTGCCTGTCAGGAACTAGGCATGGAATGTTCGCTTGCATCTGACCCTGATCCATACGCATATCCTTGCACAACATGCGAAGTGGATGATGTCTTTTGCGTTGTGAGCCCTCCACCCAAATGGAAGCGATCATGCGAGCTTTGCAAAGGTCGGAAGAAAGAGCTTTGCTCATATCGCTTCGCTGATTATGATCATTCCCAACCTTGTCTCTCATGCCGGAATCATGGGTTCGAATGTGTTGCTGGACCAGCTAGATACCCACCCTTTGCACTCTTTTCCACGAGCGAACCAAGCGAACCGGGCAGTTCTTCAAATGTTGAGTCTCCTGCAACCTCCAACTCACCCCATGGCTCCCCAGAGCTTGATGTTCCTGAGGAATCCAAGACCAGTGAACAACTCAATTCCCCAAAGATTGATCATCTAGCAAGCTGCAACCCAGCACGTGGTAACCCGGAAATCGACGTCGACGAGGCATCCAAGCTGAGTGAACAAGTTAGTTTCCCAACTATCCATTCACCAAAGATCCAGAGTCCGGAGACAAATCCCAGCAAGAGCAACTCTTGGGAGATCTCATTCCCCCCATTCAGTAGCGCACAGCCCTCCGTTGTTGATGGACCGAAGCCACACGAGGTGATTGAAATCACTGATTCAGACGATGACATCCCGAAGAAGCAGAATTCGCCAATTTATATTTCTGACTCCCTTGAATCACCCCCTCGGACCACTGTCTCAGATACCATTGCTTCACAGTCTGCAAACATCCATCGAATCTGGACTGAACTTGCTCATCCTGTGGTGTTCCTCGCAGATGACCCCTGCGACTGGTGCAACAACTTTGCATATGGCATCACTGGTCTCGGTCCTCGTAACCCAGAGGTTTGGCTGGATGAAAAAGGCACGATCGTCGAGCTTCAGGATGGCCATATTGCCGAAGGAAAAGAACAGAGCCGGATGTGTGCCTCCTGTATATGGAATCGATGCAAAATCATCCAATGCTCCCACAGCACTCTCAACCTACTACCTGCCCCCTTTTCCCCGCAAGATGAAGTACGCAAGACTGCTGCTTTAACGCTTCTACAGAAAGCAAGTGATGCACTCACTGACCCCGACACTGGAGAGGCTGGTAGCTTTTACCCAAGTCCCATTTACGAATGGTGCAGCCTGTGTCGAGAGCCCGCATTCGGGTCTTGCCAGGCGGTTCAGCCACTTGATGTCTACGCAGATGTGGTGGACTGTGATGAAGAAACCCGTGGATGTGGACTGATGCTCTGTGAGTACTGTCTCGAGCTCACCAAGCGATTCAAGGGTGACCTTAATGCTGTCGTTGCATGGGGTCGCAATGACTCGTCTCATCCTGTACAATACCGAGCCGATATGGAGTTCATCCTCTCAGGAGCGGAGCACAACCAGCTCTACAAGCGTTACATGCAGGATAGTTGATTTGCAAATTGTCTTCTTGTTTAATGTATCTATCTATCTATCTCAACATGGCTGAGCAGCTAAGTTCAGTTGAGAAAATACAAAAATCACCTTAATAGTTTCAAATGTGTTTTTGAATTTCTGAGCCGTGTGGTACCTAGATAAAAACCTCATCTTTGTTTGCTGTAATCTGTTTGATGAGTCGTGATGGTGAGGGCATTGTTGCCCTAATTGTTCACAATAGCTCAATAGAACCCCAATAGGAATATAATCATCCCACAAACAAACGTGCATGTAATGAAGAAAATAATAACTATTGACAATTAATCCCATTCACGAGTCTCTCCCATTGTGCGAACTACTCTGAATAGTCCACCTTCAAGTATAAGAGCTTCACAGCTCCAACTTGTCAATCTTTCTTCTCTTTTTTTCCATACATCTTCTTTTCATATCTTCTCACTCTTTATCTTATTTTACTCAGACTCTCTTTTTTTCATTATTCACTAATTGTCTTAACTTCATCTACAGACGCTGGGCATCTGTATGTGGATAGCCCTGGATTTCGTTTCCGCTCCGGAAAAAAAAAAAATTACCTTCGGATTTTCTGCCAGTTGAATTCGCTTCACAACCAAATCCCCTTGTACTTCCACCAAAAGGAAGTAAGGGTGCTGCTTTGATCCCGTCTTCTATTTTCCCCTGGTTGCCCCGAGCTGCGACACGAGGTGCGCAGCTCATCGCCACGACGTCTTCACCAAAGCGACGAAAAGTCTCCCCAGAGCCTCGCACCAGTCCAGGCCTTCGGGCTCGACGTCACGGCCGCTCCGAACCACCACATTCTCGCCACACATCTTCCTCTTCTTCCCGCGGCCAGAGTTCGTCGTTGTCCCCGCCTCGCTACGTGCCTGCGCATCTGCAGTTTCAGTCTGGAAGCCCGCCTGGCCGCTCGCTCACCCCCGCGACCGCGACCGCCGGACTCTCCCTCTCCAGCGACCATTCCGACATGCCCTCCGATACTCGAGAGGGTACACCTCCAACCCATGGACGATCCCCTTCTCCCGGCGAGAAGCGCCCGGCATCCGAGATTACTGACTCCGACCCTGAAGGAGGCGTGAGCACTGGCTTCAGTAACGCGCGCACTTACATTATTCCCCGCACATGCGATGGCACAAATGACGAATCCACATATCCCACCACTTCGAGCAATGACAACACCGGGGTGGCATCCTCGGCTTGCGAGCTGTCCAGACCAGCATCCCCAAAGTCAGGCGATATTCCTACAATCGACGAGCAGGTGACTGAGGTGAATGCGCTGATGAAGGCGCCGTTGAAAAATGGACAAAAGGGCTTTGTGGTTTCAATGGCTTGGCTGAAGAAGGTGCTTGCACGCACTACGGCGCACGCAGACCACACTGACAAAGGATCATTGGAGGGTGATATTGGTCCTGTCAACAATTTGAACATCATGCTTGACACCGACCCGGCAACGCCCAGCTTCAAAGACGAAACCGGTGAAATATTTGTGCCTATGCGCCCTGGTTTGCATGACGCTTTGGATTTTGCGATAATCCCACAACATGGCTGGGACCTGATCCAGAAGTGGTATGGCCTCGCCGACCAGTCACCTGTGATCATTCGCTATGCCCACAACACCAACCCACCCGGTGATACCGAAAACATCGAATATGAGACTTATCCTCCGATTTTCACCATTTTCAAATTGGCTAACCCCGCCGCGGGTACCACCCCGACCGTCTTGCGACAAACCATCAAGCCGTCTGTAAAGATCTTGGCCAGTCGCCAGACGAACTACCAGAAATGGTTGAAGGATGCCAAAGAGCAGACTTGTATCGATATGTCGACCAAGGTCCGAGTTTGGAAAATTCTCCAGCTACCTCGTAGCACCACTGCATCGGCATCGGCAACTCCTGCTGCCTCCCGCAGCCAATCGCCTGCTCCTCCATTGGCTCTGATCTCGAACCCAAACGACAAGCTCCTTTTCGATTTGAATGTTTTCCTCGAACTTCCAGAGGGAAGCCACCGAGTGCTGCTTGATAATGTGAAGGATCAAACCCAAAATGCAAACTACAACGGTCGTATGACCCTGGATATGGCTGGTCTCAGCGTGGCAAACTGTGTTGTTCTTGAGGAACAGATCGGGAGCTCCAAAGGAGGAGAATGGGTGTCTGAAGCCTCTGCAAAAACTCTCAAGAGTCTGGGTATCCCTGTGGAACAGCCGAGGAACGATGCTGCTGCTAAAGCATCTGCCGCTAAAGCTACACTGAAGAGCACACAACCGCCGCAGCCCAGTGGCAGATCTACTCCTTCCCAGGGACCCGATCCAATTAGGGGTCTCATCTCTCGAGGTCGGAAGGGTCGACAGCTTATCGTGGGATTGCAAAACCTTGGCAACACTTGTTACATGAACTCCGCGTTGCAATGTGTGCGAAGCATTGAGGAATTGTCTTATTACTTCCTTAGTGAGTATACCAATCTTACTTTTGGATTCTGCGAACGAGGTCTTTCGGTGCTAATCTTAATCTGCAGGTGGAATGTACAAACCAGAGCTGAACCCTACCAACGTCCTTGGATGCGGCGGTGTTATTGCCAAGCAATGGGCCAATTTACTTCAGGACCTCTACAAATCGGACCCTCAGCCGAGATCTGTCAACCCCTATAGGTTTCGTGCTGCCGCTGGTCGGCAACGTGAAGATTTTGCTGGCTATGAGCAGCATGACAGTCAGGAATTTGTGATGTTTCTCCTTGATGCACTGTCGGAAGATCTAAGCCGCATCGTTGGCAGCAAGCCATCCACTGTCATCCCTGATTCCACTGATGAGATGATCCACGATCGCAAGGCTCTTGAGGATTTCGGAAAGAAGTGTTGGGACCTCTACGAGGCCCGTAACGCCTCCATTATCACCGATCTGTTTGCTGGAATGTACAAGTCAACACTGATTTGCCACAATTGTGAAAAGACTAGCATCATCATGGACCCTTTCACAATGGTGACTGTGCCCATTCCAACGGGCCCGACACTCATCAGTCGAACGATTATCTTTTACCCTCTTGATGGCCCACCCGTGTCTCTGAAAGTCCGACTCGATGAAAACGATACTTTGAAAGTCTGGAAGGATTTTGTCGCCCAAAAGATGGGAATTGATGGGGAACGAATCCTTGTAGCAGAGACATTGCACCATTCCTTCTGGCAAATGTTTTGTGAAGATGACGATACTTTCGGCAGTCTACGCATTTCCCAGGAAGACACCATTGTGTTCTTTGATCTTGGTCCTCTTCCTACATCTACCAATTCTTCTGACTCGCCCTCCAATGGTGATGCAGTCATTGTACCCATCTTCCACCGCAAGCTTGTTCCGCGCAAGAACAAAGAGGCCACTCGTGAACTTTTCGGATTTCCATCCTTCATACGTCTTTCTATTGAAGAAGCTCAAGATCTTGAGGCGATTTACCGCAAGCTCCTGGGCCAGGCCAATAACATGACTACACGCGACATTCTGGCTGCCGAGGAAAACAATGACGACCATACAACTGATGACTCTGACACTGTGGTCACAAACGAGGATGATGCACGATCAGCAGATTCCCGAATCAGAACATCTTCTATCGACGGCGAAGACAGCATCGTTGACATTTCCATGCAGACAGAGCAAGTGCCCAAGTCCGTAGAGGGCTCTGATGAGTCGGATTCTGAATCTGAATCTGTCAAGCCTCCTCAGCATCCTCTCGCTGGAAAGATTGCTGCCAGTTTGTTGTCACTTTTTGATGCAAAAGTCATGAGCACAAATGCCACTCTGCCTGATGGACGCAATATTAACCCACTCAAAAAGTTCCCTCTCCTTTCCTCTCGCATCCCATCTCCTCCCACTTCTACTAAGGTTCGTTTGTTCCATCTTGTCCGTTCATATTGAGCCCCGCTAATCTTCACCAGGGATCCGATGCTTCATCCCAAAGCTCCGCAGATGACAACATAGACGATGACGTCGATGCAGATGAATCTGATCTCTCAACAAACTCAGCACCATCGCTCCTTCACCAAGGTGATGCTATTCTGCTTGACTGGACTCCTGATGCCGTTGATTCCCTTTTCGGCGGCAAGCCACGTGACCCCGAGGAGCTTCGTGGTCGTCCTACCTACCTGAGCATCAAGAATGTATTTGATCACTCCATGGTGGTAAGCCAGAAAAAGCCGAAGCAATCGAATGTCTCTCTCGACCAATGTCTGGACGAGTTCAGCAAAGAGGAAATTCTTTCTCGGGCAGATAGCTGGTTCTGTCCACAGTGCAAGACACACGTTTCCGCCACCAAGAAGTTTGAGCTGTGGAGAACCCCGGATATTATGGTAGTTCAACTCAAGCGGTTTAGCCAATTCCGCGGCAGACACGGACACAAGATCAGCACTGTCATCGACTTCCCCTTCGAGGGACTGGATTTGAGCAGCCGAGTTGAAGGCCCCACGGATGGGAAGAGTACGGTGTACGATTTGATTGCTGTCGACAACCACGTGGGTGGAATGGGTGGCGGTCACTACACTGCCTACATCAAGGACTTTGTATCCGGTGCCTGGGTGTATTGCAACGGTTCGATCTCCCCTCGATATGCTAATTGGAAGATATCTTACTGACATGAATTTCAGATACCTCTGCTAAGACTGTTACCAATATGCAGTCCATCATCACGGCGGGTGCCTACCTCCTGTTCTACCGCCGTCGCTCTGACCATGCATTGGGCAACCAGGAGCTGCGGGAGCTGGTTGAAGGTTACCGGAACGACTCGGAGAGTGTTTCTGGCAGTTCCTCCGGCTCCCGCAGCCCTGGTGGCTCCCAATCACCTTCGGAGGACGGTGGTCGTGTCCTTGGCGGCGCACCCCGCAAGGGGTCGTCTGCCTTGGGCGGGGTGGGGGTGGCACCCCGAGTGAGCCGGGGGCAAGACTCCCTTGGCAATGACCTGTACTCTTCTGCCGAAGAGAGTACTTCGGGCTCGGAAGACGGGGGCAGCGAAGGTAAGAAATTCGGCCTCGAGCACGAAAACGGGGGATCGCAGGTCGACTCCTTCAGCAAGCTCACGGAACCCTCTTGGTCGTTCGACGCCGCTCACGACATCTCACAGATTTCCAGTGGTAATGCTGCCACCGAAGATGGCGTCTTCGAGGGTCGATGTCCATGGGGTGATGGCATGGACATCGACCCTCCGTTTCAGTTTGGTCTCACTTCTGGGGGTGAGGGGGATGATTCCTCCGATGATCTCCCAGTCGTGGAGCTGCGTGTGGGGTCCGAGGACATGATGTCCTCGGGCACATGAATGATACGAACAAAAAAAAAAACAAAAAACAAAAAAAACCCCCAAAAAACTGGGAGGCGGATGGGGAGGATGGGGTGTTTTTCGACAGGGAGGGGAGGGGGATGGGCTGGTGGCCCGTACAAAATAAAAAAATGATTTCTTGTTTTAATTTCAATCACATTCCCAAAGCAAAGCAAAGTAAGAGTAAGGCCAAAATCAGGCCAATGTAAAAAGAAATGCGAGTGAAGCTGTAGAGAAAGTAAGAGCTTCTCTGTCTCACTTCTTCATCCCTTAACTATCAGCTTCCTCGCCGGGGTCTTATGTCTACAACAGATCGGCTGACTATGACCTCGCCTCTTTCATAGCAAGTTACGCCAAAATACCTGCCGGATTTGACTCTACCTGAGCTCAGTCTTCGCCGGCAACGGCTGCTAGCAATTTATGTCCATGTATTGCGACCTCGTTCTGTGCAGCTTGGTCTTATTCTTTGTTCTCCCATGCTTCTTTACCCATAGCGGCTTAGCCCACTGCTAATACTGTTCCAAGACCCCTAAGCTGATCATAAATGTAACATGTTTGTTTCAAGATTTCTACGACTTGCTTCACAAGCAAAATTCCAGTACTAATCACTATAACTTATTCCAATTCTTCTTATAATTTCAACTGCACATGTGGCACTAGACGCGTGTCCGAAGATTGATATTCTCTATAGCAACTGTGTGTGGTATATTGTTGGCAGTTTCCATGGTTGTTCAAGAATCAAACCTATGTTTGTAGTGAAATTCCATAGGTCGTACAAGAGGGCATGTGAAGGCAATGAAAGATCGACAAACACCTATAATATTCTTAGCATCAGCTATACTGAGTCTTATGACTTTAAATGCTCTATATTGACCCATCGAAACAAGTGCTATCCAACGCAAGTCATCTAGTCTAGACCGAGAAACCCTCTTTATTGACTCAGTTATTGGAATAATGTGAATAGATGATATGCAGATGTAGATACATAGAGAAGAGAAAGTTGTGTGGTCTTGTGGCCTTGTGGCCTTGGGGCACTGTAAGGAATGTGCTACAATGGCTCCTTCTATATTAGGGCTGAGTGCGTGCAACTTTATCCCCTCCAAATAATTATGTCCCCAATTGCCACGCTTTACTCGATTCAATCACCGAGTCTCCATACATCCACGCACTTATTTCAAGATGAAACGCACTGCACCTTCTCCAAAACGTAGGGGACTCTTCAAACATGAGCCGCACCAACTCAATCCCAATATATCTGCATTGTGCCCAGAGGTCATCAGCATCAGTCCTGCTACTGCCAGATCGATGATCGCAAAGATCAACTCCGAGCACGCGGATAGGCACTTGGATTTCCAAAGCGCCGGTGACCAGCTCGAGCTTCTGAGGCTTGAGACCTTGCGCCTCAAAATGATGGAGTCCATGGATTCCAAGTCTCATCCACCTAATGAGGTGTCACCTCAGCACGCGACTCCCATCTCAACCCAGAGCTTGGGAGAACCTGGTCCCACCGTCCCAAACTCGATGCGAACCTCCATTCGACCCCGTACTGCAGTCCTGAGCGAAAGTGAGATCAGTGTTCTTGATCTCGGTCCCAGTCTACATTCTCCCCACCTTTCAGCTCGAGCCTCTCGTCGCAACTCAACCTCTGCAAATGCTCATCACGGACTACTCGGCCTCGCCCGTACCACTGCTCCCAACTTTATGCCAGGGCCTGGTAGCGATACTTCGGATAAGCCATCTGACCACCAGCTCCGGACAGACGACCTTGAATCTGTCGCTCTCACTTCCGCCAGTGGCTCCATCAACAATGAATTTCCTCTCAACTTACGTCAACGCCGCCAGAACAGAGCTAACATCACTCTTCCCGGCCCCCATGAGCTACAAACTCATCGCGTAAACCATTCATCTACCATCAGTGAGGCTACTCATGGTCTGAGAGATCAATTCGACTTTGGTAATAGCCCTACTTTCTTCCCAGATGAGTCCAGCCGCCGGATTCACTCGCTGTCTGTCCCGCAATCTCCCCAGTCTCCGCCCCTGCCGCCCATGCCAACTCTACGACGTGCTCAGAGCTCATTCAACGGAATGGAGCCGGCTTTTTCAGCTATGCGCATTGCGGAGCGGGTGAAACGAAATGCACGCGACGCTGCAGGGTCTCGGGATGCCGATCGGAAGTGAGACACAGGGCGCAGAAACAGCGAGGTATGAGATATGAGGGTCATTTGACGGCAGGAGAAAGCTTTGTGGACTTTAATTCTTGTTCGGGGCACGGCGGAACAATATCTGAAGCTTTGAGATATGGGGAATCGGTTATGAGTTGTGGGACCTTGCAAATGTTCGCATTCGAGGCTGTTGACTTCGAGCCATACATGCAACCTTAACCATACATCGCCTGTTTAATAGCTTGTTACCTCAAATGGAGTTTATCTCAAAATGTTTGTGTGGGTAATTTCCTCGCTTTGTGGATATATTAAGCTTGACTGGCTCCCAATGAGAATAATATCTTACTGTAGTGGTTTAGGGCTACATCGATGTATACATCGCCCGCTCTTGGGGATCACCCTTTGATGACGTTGCGACCGACGGGAAACCTGGGATTCAAGCTAAACCCATCGTAGACGTTGTATTGTGGGACAAAAAACATATATCAACTCACTTTGAAGTTTTCCTCAACTGCCCTTTGGAGGTATCTTGTCCATATTCTATTCATAGCCTGGGCAAGCCTCTTCATGACGTAATCGTGAACACCGCCTTGCACCAGCCACACCACGACTTCCCCCCCGCAGATCCCCAGGCACAGCTTCTCCAACTCAGGTTCCGGTGATAGTTGACCTTATCACCATACCTTCATAATGTGGAACGACGAAGATAATAATCCCTACGGGGCCTTTGACCAACATCAGTCTGGCCTATCTGACTCCCTCCATTCAGCTGCTCTCTCTCCTCGTAAGCTCTCCGCTCGGCTCCCACCCTAATGCTTCTGCCTTTGGATCAGTATCTTACACCAGCTAGCTCTCTATGAACATGACTCAACCCCTCCATCTAGTCGCGACTCCAACAGCGAGCCTCCCGATTACATCACCCATCCCGAAGACCTCAGCGATCCCGAGGATGAGGCCGAGTATGGTGCCGCCAGTGAACAATACCCTCGGAAGAGCGTCTATGACAGCCGGATTGAGCAGCTCCTTTACGAAAACCCAGAGATGCCAATCTTGATCACAGATGCCGGGAAAAATCATGAAGGCGGCGGGGGCTTTATTGTTTACACAATTCGGACTGCGGTATGAGAATCGTGCCTACCGGAGAACGTACAATGCTGAGTGTTGATAGGACCTGGAAGTGCGCCGTCGATATTCTGAGTTTGCATCATTGCGACAAACCCTTGTCAATTTGCATCCCACCTTGGTCATTCCGCCGATTCCCGAGAAGCATAGCATGGCGGACTATGCAGCCAAGCCTACCAGGGCCAAAGATGATGCAGCCATTATAGATCTCCGAAAGCGCATGCTTAGTGTGTTTCTCAACCGCTGCAGGCGTATGAAGGAGGTCCGCGAAGATGGGGTGTGGTGGAGATTCCTTGATCCCAACGTTAGCTGGGTGGGTTCTAGCTGGATATTCCTGGTCAAGGGTTTATTTACTAACGTTTGCACAGAGTGAGGTTTTAAGCTCCCATCCTGCATCATCGGTCCCAAAGAATAACCTCAAAGCGCCACCTCTTGATCCCGCAAACCCCACACCAGCTCATGGCTGGCTCCCGATTCCGTCTACATCCGCAAAGCTCAAGCCCAGCGGTGGGATTACAACAGTTGGCGGAAACGCAGCATCTGCCACATCACCGAGTGAGCCAGAAGCGCCCTCGCTCCCAGGACCTGAGCTCCTCGGGCGGTTCCCTCCCGAGTCACGCAAGCTTAGCGAGGAAGAACTGGACCCTTACTTTATTAATTTTGAAGCGTCTACGCGGGAGCTAGAACTACTTTTGCAGGGCAACATTGAGAAAGTTAATCGACGAACTCTCTCGCATTTGTCTGGGCTCTCAGCCGACCTCATGGAGCTGGGGGCGCGTTACAACGGATTTTCTCTCTCGGAGCAGTCGCCAACAGTAGCTGCCGCCATTGAGCGGATCGGCCAGGCTGCGGATACTTCTTATATTGAAACCGAAGAACTATCCTCGGCTTTGAGCGCAAGTTTTGCGGAACCTATGCGGGAGAGTGCGCAATTTGCTAGTGTTGTTCGAGGAGTTCTACGATACAGAGTGCTTAAGCGGGTACAGCAAGAAATGACTCGCGATGAGTTGTCGAAGAAAAAAACTCTACTAGACTCCCTCGAACGCAGTGAACTCGAAGCCAAGCGCATTGAGCAGTATCTCAACCGCACCAGCCATCAATCCGGAGGGACGAAGCCTCGTTCTCTGTCAACCTCATCCGCTGAAGCAGGCAATAGCTCGGCCATGTCAGCCGACTCAGGCTTCAGACCTCACGACGACTCCACCAGCCCTCCGCCTGGGTCGCAGACTGGAGGACTCAAGAGATCTGACCCTTCAGTATCAGGGTCCGCTCATCGGAAGTCATCCAGCGGGACCTTCGTAGCGAACAAAATCTTCGGTCGCATCAGCCATGCCATCCACGGGTTCGCGGATGTGGATCCCGAACGAACACGTCGAGACCAGATCGGAAAGACCAAAGAAAGTCTAATCCAGGTATGTGGATAGTGGAGCAGAATTGTCAGATTGTAAAACTAATCTTCTTAGTTGGAGCACGCATTAGAAGTGTCCGAAAAGGACGTCAAAGATGCGAGCGCAGGCGTGCTGCATGATCTCAAGCGCTTCCAAAAAGACAAAGAAGCCGATCTGCGACGGTACATGGTATGCATGGTGCCCCAATATGATTTCAAACCATGACTGATGAATTTCTAGGTTGCATATGCTCGTTGTCACTTGGATTGGGCGCGGAAGAATCTGGAGACATGGACTGAAGCCAAAGATGAGGTGGACAAGATCGTGGCCCGATAGAAGACCATACATCTTTATGTTCCGGAGCTCGGCGCTGGCGTTTGGGGAATATCTTTTACTTTTTTTTCACTTGTCGTTGAAAATGCAAATTTGGTACATTCAATTATCTGAGTCTAGGCCAATTCTGTATAGAAAGTAGTAGTCCCGAAGGGCTTTGTCTTACATGTGCCTTGGTCCCTACAACCCTACAGGACTGTATTGTTCGAGGTCTCAAGAGGCCAAAAGGGCTATGTTTATATATCCGTTTTCGTCTTGACAGGAGATGGACACATTCCGGATGCTGACCCACCACTTCCCATGAGATAAGAGAAAGATCGACACTGCAACCAACCTCATCTCCCTTGCTTGTCAACTTCATTAACTTGTACATATGACGTTAATTGTGTGACTTCCTCGGTGGTTAATTGCATAATAGCCTAGACTGACAGTAATTCGGCTTTTGTGCCACGAATCCTGTTGTGAATCCTTCCGCTTCCATCGCGTCAAGGCGAATCTGTATCTTCTACAGATCTAACTTCTTCTCTGGGCATTCCGAAACCTTGCAGGCATGTCCAATTGTGGACCTCTATTGAGTGATCAGTGGACTGTCTCGCAATTCTTTCCCTCCCTGTCCTGCCTGCATCACGAACTCCACCCTATCAGGGTGGCAACGCTGTGCCTCGATTGAAAACGATGAGTGCCTGGATCCATCAGTATGATCGTCAGGGCCGGTCACTTATCACGGTCGATATCGCCATCTGGCTATCACGATGAATTTCAACATCGGTCTTCTCGGCTTTTCTGGAACCAATTCCCACGACGCTGGATCAAGATGCTTCCTTTCCTCGCCTTAGTATGCTTCTTATCCGTCGGCCTTGGCGTTAATATCAATCGGAGAGACCAGACCTTTGAACATGGCCAAAAGTTGCAAGATCTGGGAAATGACCAGGCTATAAGTCGCTTTCCTCCTCCTCGTCAGACACAGCAACATACACATGATCCCACTATCCTGCGTGTGGGCGATGAATATTATCTTTATCATGTCGGTGAACACATTCTCATCCACACTGCGCCTAGTATGGCCGGTCCGTGGAAACGTGTTGGCAGTGTTCTGGATGCCAAGAGTGTGATCCCGAAGGGTGATCGTGCCGCTCCCTGGGCCCCGACCGTTATCACCGTCGACGGCACATACTATTGCTATTACAGTGTTAGCAAGGCTGGCTGCCGTGACAGTGCTGTTGGAGTGGCCACATCTAACTCTCCCGGACCAGGCCACTGGTATGACCACGGCACTGTCATCGAGACGGGCACGGGCAATGGATCGGAGATCTATCCTTACACGGTGTCAAATGCAATTGACCCTAGCACGTTGGTCACTCCCGATGGAGATGCATATTTGACTTTTGGAAGCTATTGGAATGGCATTTTCCAAATTCCACTGAGCAAGGACCTCCTCTCTCCAGCTAGCACTACCGAGCCCGATGAACGTCAACTGGCCTGGGAGCCTGAATCGCTCGGCTCACCAAATCGCATGGCCAACAACATTTGTGGTGATCCGAGCGGTCCCCATCCCATTGAGGGCGCCTTCATCTCCTACAATGATGGATGGTACTATCTCTGGTTTAGCCATGGTTTCTGCTGCAATCTCAAGAAAGATAATCTGCCACCCACTGGTCAAGAGTAAGTCTTGATAATCTAGTGACTTGTTGCTCTATACTTACATCCTTCAGATATTCCATACGTGTTGGACGCTCCCACAGCCCCCGTGGCCCTTTCACAGACAAGGCCGGTACGGATCTTGTCAAAGGCGGCGGCGAACTTGTCTATGGCTCGAACGGAGATACCTATGCCCCAGGCGGGCAAGCTGTGATCCGTGATGGCGATACCGATGTGCTTTACTACCACTACTGTGTGTCTACCCCTAAACCCAAGGATCATCTTTGAACTCAATACTGATCTCATCACAGTGAACACGTCCGTTGGCATTGCATTCCAGGTAAGCTCACACTAAGCTATTGCTAGACTTGTGGGCCACGATTGTCGTGGTTTATGCACCCCTGTCGATCCTCCTTCGTTATCCCTTGCACCATGCACATGAACGTCATCAAGATCTGATCTAACATATGAAACCACAGGACGCTTTCCTTGGATTCAATCCTCTCAAATATGTTGATGGATGGCCCGTCGCTCAGGGATGATCTCACCTTCGCACGTCATTTATTTCTCCATCTGCCCTCGACTTTCCGCTCCACCACTATAGGCCCCCGAAATAATCTGCGACCATACTCCACGCATTTTGCATCTGCCTTCAACTCACCCCTTTTCTTTCGAGAATGGATCTCGGATTCTGCACATTTCTGCGTTCTTGTTTGCCAACATACTTGACACAGTCGCGTCATCGTCTTTTGCGCGTTGACAGACCTGTTTTCATACGCCTCACGCGACCCCATTGCTTTTACACGTTACCCGTTCTGCTGAGAGTTCCTCGTCTGCATTCTTTGGCGTACAGGTCCTGGTATCCATATATTTGCTTTTGGTGTATTTGATCATATGTGTTTGTGAATAGTGATTTACCTCGCCAATACATACATAATGTTTCTACGAGGCTCTCGGTCTAGGAAATTCCCTGCGTAGGTCATTCTATATTTCTCTTCAATACTGGAGATGGATGTAAATCAAACGAACAAGAGTTAATTGACATGCGCCGTTCCAATCTAAAAACAAAGTACATATATAAAAACAAAAATATCATCATCCAGCCCGTAATCATCAATCGAGACGTCATGTTTCCATTTCCTCATACGATTCTGCTCAGTTGTTCCCGCTACCTTCATATGTTGCTGCATAAAATAATCCCGGGATTCTAAGACTTCCGACGGCTCTTCCATGGCCTCCAGCTCTGATTCAACAGCCCTCCTATACGTGAACGGAGTCTCTTCCGGTTTCCGGGTGTCCGTTCTCCACCGTCGTCCGAGGATGCTGCTGAATCCTCCGCATGCTCTAGCTGTGGCTGATTGGAACTTTCGGGAGTCTCTGACATTTCTGATTGCTGTTCACTCTGACTGTCGAGTAAGTCTGGTGCTCCATCCACTATCAGTTGATCTTGTCCGGGGTTCTTAGAGATTTCTGGCGAGGCTGGCTGGGGTTCATGATGATCGCTCAGCAGGTCCGATGTCACTGCTTGCAGCTCTGACCGGGCTTTGTCGGCACTTTTACAAACATCGGACACGCCCGGCTGCTGTTCTCCCTGTCCGTGGAACTGGTCTGGTGTCCCATCCATTGCCTCCAGCTGATCTTGCTCAATGTCTTTAGAGATTTCAGGCGAAACTCGCTGATGGTCATGATGCTCACTTGGTAGGTCCAAGGTCGCTGTTTGCGCCTCCAATGAGGGGTTTTCGACGTTTTGACAAACTTCCGACCCCTCTTCCTGCTGCGGTTCATGACTGAGCAGCGGATCGGATATCCCGATTTGCGTCTCCAATTGGGCGTTCTCGGTGCTCTGGTACCGTTCCGACTCCGGTGGCTGTTGCGGTTCAGGACTGAGAAGCGGCTCGGGCGTTCCTACTGGGGTCTCTTGTTGTACCTGTACAGGACTTTGGGACATGCCTGAAAGGTCTTGCGGTTGGGGGCCGTCCTCATCCCGTGAATTTGCAACTTCATCCTGTGCCGGCCGTGATTGCTGTTCACGGTTTCCCGACACGTTTAAAGCACCCACTGGGGCCTCAAGTCGTGGCTGTCGATGGGCCTCCTGTGCCCCAGTCAGCTCAAGACGCGCTGGCACATCGCTGCTTGGAAGCTCTTGTTCGCCCTCTGTTGCATTAACTACTAGGGGGATGTACTTGTCTAGCGCTAGCAATGACGCTGACTCTGCTAACTCTGTTGCCGCAAGGAGTGACAAGCGATCAGATGGTCGAAATCTTAGGAACCCTTCAATTATCGGCAACAAGGGAGCCAACATCGGATTGTTGGCTTTCTTTTCGAAAACTTCCTTTAGAGGTCGTGCTGACGCTAACGTTGTAAGTCTTCTTTGCGGTGAAGTAGTGCTGGTATGCTGGGCTTCGCTTGATGTGCCGTCTTTGGCTAGGGAAACTTCCGCTGCTGGACTATCTTCGGCTGGTGCTAGAGTGTCTGGCACAGTGGTCTCTGTCTCTGTAGCTTCTAGTACCTTTGTCCTTTCTTTGTCTGTGTCCAGGGCTTTTCCCAGTGCAGAATTCTGGTCAGAAATCAATCGAAGTTCCTCCAGCTTTGCCTCCCACTCGACTGGTAAGTCCTCCACAAACCCAACAATGTTCCTTATGTATTCATAATCGTCGGACAAGCCGGGGAATGCGGGCTCATACATCAGGAGCTGATATATCTGCCATGTATCGTTCAGTATATGTCACATCGACGAGCTCCAGCCATTGATGGACACTTACGAAACACCCCGTGTGCCACAGATCAAGTCGACAGTCAAGCTTGTCCCCCATGATGATCTCGGGAGATCGCTGATGGACTGGTTGCTTGAGTTTATCTGGCTCCTCTCCGCGGACGAAACTCTTTCCGAAGCCAATCAGACGAATGTCATATTCATCTGCGTCGAGATATCCATTCCACTGAGCACTTTGCACTATATCTTTTGGAAGCCCTTTACTCAGAGGCACCCCGTCCCAGCGCTCCAGTGGGAAAACGTGTGGTGATCCCATAGCACCAAAGACTTCTTTTTCGGTGGCATTCCGGAGGCTGTTGCGAAAGGTGAACGCAATATTTGCTCCATTTATACCTACTAGCATGTAAGTATTACGCCAATGCAACTCAACCGTTTATTATAGTTAGGACCATTCGCCTTAGAAAACAGGAAACTCACCTCCGTGGCACATTCCCAAGCCGTGCATGAATCTCAAAGCCATGAAAAGCCGCTTAGTAACTTCAAATATACGAGGAAATTCGATATGAGAACAATGAGTAAAGTTGTTGAACTCAGCATTATCGAACGCGGCACGATGGGCGTGGTTGTTGAAGTCAATATAAGATTGTTGGATCGATTCGAACGAAGGGCCAACAAGATCAAGCACCAAACACTGATGTATCCCATTCGGACCCACGAGCACAAAGCTGTCAAGCAACTTGACGATACATCTTGTGAACAGCACCCCTTCTGATTTGTCCATCAAATATTGCAGATTTCGAATCTCCGTCCGCTCCTTGATGTGCGCGGCCAATATCTTCAAAGCGATCCATTGGTATTTAGGAACATGTCCATTGCGACTTGAGTATGTTAGTTGCTATGTGTAGTTTTAGAAGCCGAAGTATTATAATACCCTGTGTCCTTTGCAAGCCACACTGTCGCAGAATCACCAAAGCCCAGCTTATGGTGCACTGTGTATCGACCATTCTGGAATCTATCCCCGAGACTGACCGGGTGAAGACCGCCAGGACAATACCTGTGAATCCCTTCCTGTGTCAAAAGAAGAGGATCATGCTTAAAATCGTTTATATCAAAGTTGATGTCTGAGTTAGTCTCCATGGAAAATATACAGAACCGCAAGTTGGAAGGAAATAAGAGAGAAGCGGGCGATGCCAAAAATATAAAGACCGAGGGGTTCTTTGTTCGAGTGTTCTCACTTTGGACTCGATAACTCCAAGTATTAGTTACATCTATAGTGATTCTCTTTGTTAACATGGGACAGCTCATTTAATTCTTTCATGGCCTATCCATGAGTGCAATAATCTTCGGCCTAGAAGAACAAAATTTATAGAAATCTTTAGTTCTATAAAATACAGATTGTTCGGAAGTACAAAACATGTTATAAAAAAAAATATCGACTACACATGTATCATGGATGAACGCAAAAGTCCATACCTGAAAAACTCCCCAATCTACGCGGAAAAGACTTTGACTTCACCATTTCTGTGTCTTTTTCCAGCCTGAAGCCCGACTACACTTGTCCCATCCTGCATCTGAGCCTCCTGGGGGGCTTAGGCTGCGGCGCCTCTTCTCATTCTCTTCCAATTCAATCTGCCAGCGCTCCTTTTTCTCCTTTGGGTCCCGATGCATATTGCCATCCTGGCTCCAGGATTCATTGCCACCGCCATGTTGTTCTTCTGCGTGTCCCCAGGAGTTGGACCTGTTGCAGCTGTTTCCCTGCTCCCCATGGTCATTGTGTCCCCAGTCACGGTTGGGGCTTGATCTTCCTCTTGACGTTCCCTCCAGCGATGCATAGCGGTAATCTTTGCTTTTCTTGTAACTTTTTGTATCATTATCTCCCCATCCATCGTTGCGGTCATGATGATCTTCTTTGGAATGGTTGCTCCGTGGATGGCTGTTTTGCTGTGCACCATCGTCACTCTGACCCCAGCCACGGGATTCCACTTCGTTTCTTGACGCTCGATCTGGGGGATTGTTCTGATTGTCTCGTGAGTTTCGTCTTGGGGAATGTGATACACTATTTCTCTGCCCTCCTCGCTCATTGTTGGAATTGCTGCTCCAGTGGTTGTTGTTATCGTTCCACCCAGTATTGCGTTGACTATCGCATGAGTTTCGATCATTTCCCCAGCCACTTCTACCGTCATGGTTGGTCGTTTGTTCATGTTGTCCTACTGTATTTCCCCACTGATTATTTTGCTCGTCTTGGCCCTGAAATTTGGGAGATTGGGCTTTGGGAGACTGGTGAATGGGGGACTTCTGCTGGTTCTGGCCTTGGTTCTTGTTCTTCTGTTTCCGTTGGTTTTTTCGATTCTGTTTGCCCCCCTGGTCAATCTGACTTTGCTGCTGCCCTCTTTGCTGTTGCTCTTGCTGCCTTTGTTTATTTTGTAGCGCTCGTCTTTTCCTTTGCTGCCGTTTGGATAATGGGTTCGGCTGCTGGTTCACCGTCTGAGGACTATGGGTGTTCGCTCGGTTCGGTCCTTGGAAATGTTGGTCAGAATGCGGGATACCGGTAAATATCGGCTGCCGAGGGTGAACATACTGTGGCGGACGCAGGACATGGGATGATCCTCGGGTCTTTGGGCGAACCCACCCGCGAGGAGTAAAGTAGGGTCCAGTTACGGGGTTCGGGGCTCCATTCGCGGGCTCATAGTTGGCGTGGGCGCGATCCCGGTTTCTTCTGTCGTAGATTTGGCTTTCTTGGTGCATTTGGGTGATATGTGATCGATACCAAAGGTAGAAGAACCACGCAAAGACTGGGGTGACGAACGCTACCACCAGAATAACCCCAATCAGAACGTTGTCATGCATGGTGCAAGCAGTGAAAAAGCGGCTCGAAGTGATGTGTTTGGTGTGCAGCTGGATTAATGGGGGTGATATGCGTGCACGTCAAATAATGATAGAGTAGTGTAGAGTGCAAGAGAATGAAGAGAAGAAAGAATGTCAAGAGAAGGACTCAAGGTCTTAGATAGGAAATGTCAAGTGATAGAGAAGGCAAAAGTGAAGGAAGGAGCAGACTTGCAAAGGCAAACGAGATATGGGATATTTCAATATTCTATCTGATGTAGTTATCTTTTCATTTTCGATTCACATTAAATCTCACATTTCCAATCCAGCCTGGATTCTTGATAACCAATCCTCATGAATTGATGATGATTTGCCTGCATCTAAGAGGGATTCAAGAGATGCCCGGAAGGCATTTGGCTGCACCCAGTAGCTCTCTGCCTGGAAGGCGTGTGAGCCGAGAGCAGAAGAGATGACAATAACTCGGAGACCTAGGTTGAAGATCTCGGGCTTTGAGACCCAACCAAGAAGCCCATCCGACTCTTTCTCAGAGCCAACCAGAGAACAGAGATATGTTAGTCCATCATAGGCCCAGGCAGAAGTTTCATCCAAGGGGAGCTTAGTGTACGTCGAGCGAGTCAACCGCAACAGAGCTCGCGACCAAACCTCAACCTCGCGAACATCATCAATAAACAGATTCTGTTTCTCTTCCACGAACAAGACCGTACTCTCTTGGCGATACTCTGCGATCTGGTCCGACACGGCAACCAAGTGACTGCATTCGTCAGATCCACTGATCCTTGGCCATTGGCCAGTCAAATATCGAAGAACTCGTTGCCCAAGGAGTGCGGAATCTGAATAGTTATCGATGATGAAGTCGGCGAGCAGGGCGCTTGCATTGAGAGGCGCCAGGGTTACATCTGCGTCAGGTGAAACGGACGAGTGCGACAAAACCCAGGAGGCAGCTGATGCAGCAACATCACGAATTTCGTCGTCGTCATCATTAAGCATATCATACAAGACCAGATAGACATCCAGTAGCACTGCATCCACGCATGGCTGGGCACCGGAGGATCTAAGAGCCCGTGAAAAGCTGGCAACAGAGGTAGCTGCAGCAAAACGCGTTGTGAATTCCTAGAAAATTAAAGAAATTAGCTCAATGACTCGATTACAAGACAAACGCCATGACAAAACTCACCGTCTCCTCGCTCAAGGCAGAACGAAGCTTGATAGTCCAGCTGCCGACATCGCTTTCAAATGAGGACACAGCTGTCTGATCAACAGATAGTCGGATGGCCAGTAGACAGCCTCGAAGTCGGAGTTCAGCGTCTGTTGCCTCTCTGTTCCAAGTTGTGATATCGGTTTCGGGGCGGAAGCAATTTGCGATAGCGTCCCATGGAAGGCCCATACTTGACACAGAATCGAACTGTGAGGATATCAAGTTCTCCATAATAGAAGCCAGATTGGACGAGGCCATTGTTCTCACATCTGGTCGACTATCTCCCAAAATCACAGACGAATACAAGTCGGCCAATGGCTGTCTATACCTCTCATCTTCGCTAATTGACTCGTGGAGCTGCTCCAAAATCCAACGAGCGACATCTGCGTCGAATTGCGATACGCCAGCGAAGAATGCTGGGAGCTGCTCCCATTGCTGGGAAGTAAGTATTTTCAATGTTGTACACCAAGCAAGCGCTCTTCTAAGGAGGGCAGATGCTCGGACAGTGCTTGAGAGGTTCCATCCCGACTGAGAAGCGTCAAAAACAAATCTCAAAATCCCATTGAGGTCGTGAACCTCGAACATCTCGTTGATAAAAGAAATAACTTGGTCTATAGATGGTTAGTTCACAGCTTTTGTTTGTCCAAATATATGTCCACTTACTTTCGCTCTGTGCTTGGATCGCTCGCTCCAGGGTGCCATTGAGAATTTCAACAAGCTCGCCTGCCACAGTCGGTGATTTTCCAACGCGGAACAGGACTTCTAATACAGTGCGCAACGTCGCGAAAAGTGCCTCAAGGTTTGCTGCCAAAGGATTAGCTCGGTTATGATTAGGGGCTGTTCAGTGTACTCACATATCCAGAAATCATCGGTGGTGAATGAATATCGACGAAGGGCATATCGCACACACAAAGCAACACCATGAACATAATTCTCGGTGATTTTTGAGGGAAGCTCAATAAGAGTGCATAAATCTTGTGGGATATGTTGTCGAGTGAGCAATGACGCATATACACGGGCTGCATGCTCTCTAACACCCCAAACTGGGCTGCTCAGGTGCTCAAGGACCAATCCGCGCAGCATCTCATCAGTAGGATCATCCAAGTTGGGGACTTTATCACCAACGAGTTCCAGTGCAGGGAACACCCGCTCGGTAATAATTTCAGTTCCCTCCGCTGCTTCACCCTGCGTCGTTGTAAGAAGACCAGAGAGCAGTTCAAGCAAACCAGGGTACTTGGGGAATGTTATCCGGGATCCTGGCTCTGAGCCGGAATTTCCTCCAAAGCCAGGCCCAGCGCCGGGAATGACCCGACACATTTTTGTGAGTAGGGCACGGAAGAGCATCAGCCCTGAATTGCGAAGGGCCCAGATTGGCGACCCTAGGCGTTCAGCGGACAGCGTCAGTGCCTTCATGATAAATGACTCGGTATGGGGGCCAAGCTTCGCGTTGGTGAAAATATCTTTCAGACAGTTCATCGCATGAACCTGGGGCAGTTCTAAGTACTGTCTCTCTTTGTCGTACTCCACTGGAAGTGATGAGATCTCGTGAAGTTCATTAATGGCCTCATTGAAGAATGGAGTTCCGGGATCGGAGCCAACAATTCCCGTCACCAATGCAGGCAAGCCAGCGGACCGACGGGTGAGCTGAGATGCCGAGCCAAAGATAGTCGACTTAGCTTCCTGGTACCAGCTCCTAGGAAGCTCCCGGATTGACGGATCTTTCGAGGCGCTGCATCGTTGACAGCATGTGGCAAATGTCTGTGAGACGTTGGAAAATGCACCTCTGTGGCGGAGTTCAGCCAGCTGTGTGAAGCTCACGCCTCCAATGTTTGAAAAATCCGCCAAACTGAGGCCGTGGTCGCCGCTTGGTCCGTAACTGGTGTTTACCAGAGTGGCATGGAGCAAAAGGCTTGCTTCACGAAGAGATCTCCAGGAGTAAGAAAGGGCATCCTTGGGTCCCACGTTCAGATCCTCGGTGGGCTCATCCGAGTGACCTTCGGGTGAATCGATACACAGCAAAGGCTTCGCCTCGAGCCAGATCTTATCGCAAATTGCAACAATGCGGTCATGGACAGATCGCCAAGCAGCATATCCCGACCCGTCAGATATCAGGGAGTGGAAGTTTGGCATAAGGACAATATACCTGGAATTGCAATCAGCGATATTGTATCATGTACGGTCCAACACAACATACCTAAGACCGGACGTATATCCATGAAGCGGCGCCTCGCGCATGACGGAGTTGAAAAGGGTCTTTGAATCCAGAAGACGTTCCTCAAGCTTTTTCAAAATTGTGTCAACAACTGATGCCTTAGTTGTCCACCAATCAGAAGCTGGTTGACCGGAGTTGGCTGGCAGGGCTGCGCAAAATATGATGTGGTATAGACGAGCAACAGTATCAGCGTGATCAGCTCTGCTCGTGTTACTTGCCAGGCTTTCCGCTCGGGTAATTGCATCTGTCAGCCGCATGCCTACAGCCGACTGCTGGTCTGTCTTATTGTGCAAGCCGTTGAGCAGAATCTCTCGAGGGCACAAACTCAAGATCGAAAGCGATGTTTGACGAACTTCCTCAAATGGATCTAGCAGGAGATCAATCAACAACCGGAGTAGGTGGGCATCAAACACCTCGACCTGAACTTTCCAAAGATTCTCCATCTCTGATTTTTGAAGCTTAACCTTTATCCGTGGATCAAGACCGGAGTCCAGCAGGAGCTTCAGAGCTTTGAGAGCAGTGATGTGGCGCGGATATGAGGCGGCCAGACGTAAGTCATTACCCAATAGCTGAAGGTATGCCTTTAGGAACTCCTTGGTTTCAGTTTCATTTCTGATCTGACCTTGAGCTGACTTGTTGAGTGCTTTCTCCGTCTTTTCGACAACATCTGCATCTTTGACAATGCCACCCCTTAGACGAACAAAGAATTTGCGTGTCAGACTCAGAACCTCTCCTCGGGTATGTGCGTCAGATTCGGCATGCATAGAGGGCAGTCCTCGAAGGATAGCCTTCGTTGCCCCCACTGTAAATGGCTTGACCGTGGAAAAGGCCGTGATCAACAGCGAGAGAGCAGCTATACGGATATTGGGCTCGCGGTGTAGGAGAAAGTTGCCAATAACGTCGCTTTTCATAACCAACACCTCATTTTCGTCGATTTTCGATTTACCAAAGTTGAAAATATCTGCGCATATTAGCAAATTCCAATAAATCTAGATTCACGGAGCTACTCACAATCTTCGTGAACCAAGTTGATCTTCTTGCCGATCTGCAGAGCAGCGAAAAGAACCATATACTCTGCCTCAGGCGCATCAGTCATATCACCTTTGAGAAGGCTCTTGACTGGGAGGGTGTCAAGGAAGATCTTGAAGCCATTGGGGTCAATGGTGAACAGAGGTTGCAGAAGCCTATTGGACACGTCTTCCAGCGTTTCTATGTTTTGCAATGCTGTGCGTCTCACTGGGATTACCCACATCGCTGACAGCTTTTCCGGTGAGCTTTCAGCCTTCATCTTCTGTATCAACATTGCCAGCAAGTTACCAGCAGCCACAGCCATGGTTCTGTTGTTAGTTTGAATCAAGAGCCCCAGGACAAAGATCCTCGCTGCTAGTTCATCAGACAGGCTGCCAGATGCAACGTCAAAAGCGGGGCCTGATTCTCCTAGAGACAGAGTTTCATGATCATTGGCGAACAGGGTCGGCCAACTATCCGTGTTCTTCAAAAGCCACTGACGAATCAAGGGGATAAACTCGCTAGGTAACAGGGCATCCTTTCTAATGAATGTCTCCAAAAACACTAGGGACCCCTTGAGTCGTGATTGAGGCTCCCCAAGCACAATGCTAGGAGTTAGGGCATTAATGATTGCAGTTTGAAGGGCTGTTCTTGTCGCTCCTTGGTGACGTTTGGCTAGGATGGCAATGATTGAGGCGAGGAGCTTTTTAACGGGCTTTGGTTTGGCGTCTTCATATCGAGTCCAACAAATATCGAATATTGAAAGCCACACTTCTTGTGAGAAAACCAACTGTTGAGTCGTATCACATTGTGACTTTGTGGCAGCATCAATAAAAGCAGAGGCAGCATTGCATGCCTCTGCAGAATGAGGTGGCGAGATAGATGCTGTCGATAGCGTGTGAACCAACGACTGCCATACCCGGTTCACCTTTCTTTTGAAATATTAGAACAAATTGGTTCTTATGAATTTGAAAATATACTTCACTTACTCAGTCTCTTGGCACGTCAGTGTGAATTTCACCAATGGGCCTTTGGCGATATCTCGGAGAGTTTTCTCCGAGAACAATTGCACTTTCTGCGCAAGGTCTTCCATTTCGGTTGATACGACACGTTGCACCTGACGTGAATCACCAACAGTCATAGCCCCCAATTATACAAGCCCCGGTATCTTGGATAACGGTCCGCGCGAAAGATCCTCCCGACGATTAATTTTTATGCTCCCCGCGATGCCTCAGGCCGCAAAATGATAAAAGTGGGATTCTGTATCGGGTAAAGCGCATATCCATCGGTCAAACTCTTCTCCGCTGGATCGCCGGAAGTCACGGGACCGAAGTTTTTGCTGTTCCGATGCCAGTGGAGCTGCGAGCACAGGGCCATCACTTCTTTTCCAGTCATCCGCCCCTGCCTTCTCCTTAGGTCCTTGTAATTTTATCTCCCATCCTCTATCTTCTCAAACCTCTTTTCACAATGTCGATTTGGGACTCCCTCAGCGGCCGCAAGCAAAACCAAGGGCCCGATGCCTTCGACCCTTCAAGCGCGCAAGATGCCACATCCTTCCTCTCCGAGGTTGCTATTCCCGATCCCTCTCGCCTTCATCCCCTGGCTGGTCTGAACCAGGATGCCCTTGATTACCTCTCTCTCGATGACTCCGCCCTTGATAACCTCCCCGGCTCCCGATCAGTGCTCCCATCCCGTGGATGGTCAGACGACCTTTGTTATGGTACCGGAACTACCTACCTCGTTGCGCTCGCTACTGGAGGCGCATGGGGACTTGTAGAAGGATTGAAAAAGACACCATCTACAGCAGCACCGAAAATCCGTCTTAATGCAGTACTCAACTCGGTTACCCGTCGCGGTCCCTTCCTCGGAAACTCGGCTGGTGTTGTGGCTATGGTTTACAACGGAATCAACTCCGGCCTCGGAGTCGTGCGAGGCAAGCACGACGCATCTAACAGCATCGTGGCCGGCGCATTGAGCGGCATGGTCTTCAAGAGCACACGCGGACTTAAGCCAATGATGATCTCTGGCGGCATTGTGGCTTCCATTGCCGGTGCCTGGGCTGTATGTATATTGCTGTGATGTGCTATGTGACTTTTGCTAACTGCGACTCTACAGGTGACGCGAAAGGCCTTCTTCTAAATTGCTAGCATGGCCAATTTCATCCTCCTCCGCTTTTTGGTTATCCGATTCTCCATACCCTCCACGCCACCCTTCAACGACATTGGCGGTTGACGATTAGCCGCCTCGCTTTGTCTTTCCATCTGCGATGTATTACAACTATTTTTTTTATTCCCCCCTGCGGGTCTCTTCACTCCGGCGCTTCAAGCATTATGTTTCGCATTTATGCGTGGGTTGGGAATGGGATGTGCAACTGGGTTTGTACTTTGTATTTCTTCTGTGTACATAGAAAAGTCTCTTGCATATCTGCGATTAATTGGCTATGGCGCTTGCAAGTGTCTGTCAGTAACGTATTATAATGCTGCTAGTGACTTCCAATAGACAATTTCTCATACATCCTGACCCAGTCTAATAAGTGAAATTTGCATTCCTACTGACATATTAGCTGCAAAATGAAACTATTCATTCGGTGGGCTTGATTGATCCCAATGCCACAAGAGAGATGCGAGGATGTTCCTCGGTCAAACGCCCCGTGGACGGCACCCCAAACACCCGGGTGTGCAGGCTTCCTGTATTTGTCTATGTCTTATCGCTTCTGGTCTGTAATTTGGAGAGAATATGCGATCCCATGGTGTATGGCAAATCTCGAAAGAATGCTTGCTCCCATACGAATGCTTTTGGTGTATAAACCAGGGAGGATATCCTATCTGTTCCTGTCCGGAAACTACAGCTGGGTCCAGGGGGAGGGCGAGATATTTGCTCCATTCGCTCGGAATATGAGGACCACGATGGTGTGTGCATTATCTTCACCGCTGCTGAAATTTGGACGAATCCAAATTATTCCGGACCTCTATAAAAGATCGGGTTACGGCTTCTGCCGCGCTTTGTACCCAGATCCCCATGGCGATATAGCCCAAAACCATACGGTTAACAGGAAAATCTGACATGAAAAATGAAACAAAGGAGTTGTTTGGTATGAAAAACCCCTCGGGCACTGAGTCCGAGTATGGAGCTGTCACTCGACTGATGAGAATCTCAATGCTAGGGACTATCATCTGTCTACAGTTGGAGGGATTCGGGATTCAGTTGCCTCGACAAGAGATAAAAGCAATAACGGTCTCCCCAATGCACATCAAAATCCCTTGAATCAAGGTTTTCGATTAATTGAAGCTAGTAAGAAGATAGTATAAATTCTCCGAGAAAGGTTAGCTCACTGATATATATTTAGAACATTTGATTACCTTATGTAGTGAAGAAGCGTTGATGTAAATATTTCCCTTATAAACACACCTAAACGCATGTGCATTTACTGACACAGGGACACCAGGCTGCCTTTGGTACATTTCTAAAATATTTGCCACCCAACTTCCGCGCTGTCGCGTCGATCAGGGACCGGCTACTGCCGACGGGGCAAATGGGGAATAATTTTGGTTCGCCCGCGTTAGAGCTTTCACCTCTCTCAGATCCTTGGCAATGGCAGACATATCGTCAAATGCCAAAGTACCCAAACCACGCACCAAGACTTTCACTGGATGTTGGACTTGTCGAGACCGTCGAGTGAAGTGCGACGAGGAATACCCTTACTGTCAGCGGTGCCAGCAACACGGTTGGACATGCAAAGGGTATGATTTGCGCCTAGGATGGTCTCGAACCCCCGGGGGCCGCTCTCATCGGCGCAAATTGCGGCCCCCAGCACCAGATATGGACCATGGGTTGTCATCTGCTGCCGTGACAGCACTGCTGGTTGAGTTGGATGGGTGTTCGGGGCACGGCTGTGCCCAACAACGAGGTCCATTCTCAGTGTTCTCGGCTTTTTCAAGGCCTGAGACTCAAGATACGCGCTGTGTTGATTTACTCAACTTGGAAGATGCCCTTCCAACCCAACATGCGGAAGATACACAGCATAACTCATCAGACTTCGTTAACTCGCCAGTTGGCGACACAGATGGTGAGCTGGCTTCACCGAGACCAACGTGGGATATATTGTCATCGACCACCGCACCATCCCCGCCTGAAATTCACGAGGAATCTTGCACAGCATTGTCAAAGCCTTATTATCGGGCCAGTGACATCTCTATCAACGCAATATCCCATGTGATTCACCACAAAAATCCCAAACATCGGCTGTCAGAACCGGGCGACTACGGCAAACCTGTATTAAATACTCACAGCAATGAGACCACCCTCTGGGATTCCATGAGTCCATTGACTCTTCCAAGAGTAGAGACAGAGTTAGTCCACTACTGGGTTGTTTTTCTCAGCGGGAACATGCTCCTAATCGACACCCCGGACAATCCCTGCCGGACAGTGTTCCTACCTCTAGCTCTGAAAGGCCTTGATGCCTCCCCAGCAGAGTCGAACATCCATCTCTCAATATTCCACGCCATTTGTGCCTGTTCCGCCTTCAGTATTTCTCACCTTCGCCATGATTCGCGGTACCATTCCATTGCCGTCCACCATGACCAGCTGGCTCTGCGTCATTTGCGAGGAAGCTTGCATCGGGATCGCTGCTTAGATGAGCCCACGCTAACTGCTGTCCTCGCTTGCATTACAGCTGAAGGTATGTCTGGTCGCCGCAGCCGATGGAGAGCACACGTCGCTGGATGCCTTGGTCTCCTAGAGAACGAAGTCCATGGCGACTGGATCCAAAGTCCGACTGCTATTAGAATGATCCAAAGTTACTTGGCTCTTTCGTCCCTATGCAGCCTTCCTGTACCCAAACGGCTCATGTCGCTCCTCAATGGCCCCTCCGATTCCCATCACTACCTAGAACAATCGCATGGAATTACAACACCACTGGTCCAATTTCTCGCTCAAATCACCACAATTGTTGAGTCTCGGACACATATGCCCATAGGAGAGCTAGACCGGCTCGAACTTGAGCTCTACTTGAACTTTCCAACCCCGTCAAACCCAGACGCCCCGGGTTCGATCATTGTCCAGCACGCTCTGAACTCATTTTACTACGCGACGATTGTATACTTCCGCCGTACTTTGCGTGGCGCAAGATTGAGCGACGTACAGGATCTGGTTGAGAAAGCAATCCACGAGCTGGAATCTGTCGATGCACTCACGCGTGAGAAGGGGGGCCATTCGTATAACTGGGCAGGTTTTGTGATTGCGGCTGACTGCGAGAGGCCTGATCTGCAAAATCGCATGTTGGCATTCTTTGGCCGCAAAAGTCGCCACGGGATCCCGAATATCAATGTGTTATTTGAAATCGTTCAAGCTCTGTGGAACCGGCGGGCAGCAGCTGGATCGCACGTGGACATACAGTGGCAGGATATTGCAAGGGAAGCTGATTTTGACATTATGCTTGTTTGAATATAGAAGGATACATGTAATCACCAATACCGCACATATTGTTCTACCCGTGTACATATATTAGGGCCCACAGAACAAGGAGCTAAGCCATGTGCCCAGGTGGAGCCCAAAGTGGGTACTAGAACCCTCCCCCGGAATCGGGGCTGATATGAATTTCGATCTCAGGTCTTTCCAAATAAAAGTCACCGGAAAGTTCATTTGCATTAAATTTCACAAATTGGCGCACATTGAGACTATTGACACGTAAAAATGTTTCCCCTTCACAGAATAGCCAGTGCATTAGGAGGGCTCGCAACAGCACCAGGAAAATTCAGTGGTGACGAAGTAAGCAAGAAAGAATACTGCCTACTAGCCCTACAAGCATGAGACAGCGCTGTCAAATCCCAAAGCTCACCAAGCGGAATACCCAACAGACTTAGACACCACTGATGCAACACAAGTTCATGGGTAGGCTGCTCAACACCATCGATGATAGGCGGCATAGCCTCGACAGCGATGTTATCACTAGCAACAGCAGCGAAATGCCGATCCCAAAGCCAGCGCGCCATTCTCTTACTCCCCTCCAACCCACACATCTTGCCACTGCTCATCGCAGCGCCCTGCTCGGGGCCAGTCATTTGACCTAGCGTCTCTGTTACGCCGAATCGGATGAGGAGGATATCTCCTGCTCGGAAGGTTACCCCCTGCCAGGTAGCCACTACTTCTATCTCGGTGGTCCCGATACGGAAACCGGAGAATTGATTGTAGGTTATCCCGTGGCTCTGCGCGTAACTCTTGAAATCGATTAGTACGCCTCGGCCTGTCACACAGCCGCGTTGGTGCCAGTCTAGTTTTCTGCATTAGCCTTTTTCGGTGTTGGGGTTGAGCTTGAGTTGAATATTCTTACGATCTAGTGTTGGAAGATGCTGGGCAGATTTGGGGGTTTGAAATGCTTCGATTGTCGGGTTTGCTCCGTTGTAAGCGAGGCCGGTTGGGAGGTGCATGAAGTGAACTGGGTTTGGAGTCATTTTTTGTTATTCCAAAATCAGAATTTTTGGACGCACCAAAACTATCCCATTGACTACTGGCTTGGGTATTGAACTCGACCTGGAACCGATTAGCTCTAGTGGGACAGAAAATGACCAGACAGCCCAATACCTCATCATCAAACCCAAAGTGGCTGCCAGATGCTGGGTCTTCCAACTTCATGACATTATGACAGAGGCTTTTTCGAAAGAATCCGGGAAATTTGATGCTTCCAATGGGCCAACTAGTGGTATTAGGGTTCATGTCTTGGAGATAGTGAAGGGTATTTCACTTTAGAGAAATAGACACGCCTTGGCGAACCTCTGCGACAGCATCCTTCACGACTTCTGGGGTGAGTAGATTCAGGGTGCCCAGAACATCTTTCTTGCCATCTTTGTCGAAGATGCCCCATGCACAGCCTTGTGGCATTCCCTTGACAGGAGGGAGATCATCGAAGTTTGGAAGCGATGCCATCGTATACAGAATAGAAAAGGAGGTCTGACTTGACTGATTTAGGGGATAAAAGCCCCACGCCGGGAAACCGTGTGCTAAACTGCGCTGTCAGTCTCCCGAGTACTCAGTCGGGGAATCTTGGTAGGATAGAGATGAAACAAGAACTCGATTGTTTTAATTATGCCCATCAGATTTCCAGATCGGGTGGATTTTAGTTTTGCTTTAAATTGCCTAAATGCGTGACCGCCCAAGTGCCCAAGTGCAGCGTTCAGCGTTCAGCGTTCCGAAAGAGAGATTGCAACACTTGCCTCGAAGGTGTTACTAATCTCTTCCTCCTATCATGTCCCTAAAATACGGACTCAAGGTCATAAAGGACATCTGGAGGCTGTTCCCGTCCTAGCACAGGTAGCCCAGGTCCAAAAGCCAGCCTTACACGATGCTGCGACAAGGCACTCCCGATTGGGAGCGATGAGAACCGCTCTAACCTGGGGATATGGACCGCCGGATTCGCCATGCTCCTGCACTAGAGGGATACAGCCTGGTCATGTACCACTGTTGCAAGCAAATCCCGCCTCATGAAGATGGAGACCGCCATTATTCATATCCAGGAGAGGTTTGTACGTCGTTCCGTGGAGCAAAATGTGCAAGCCCTCAGGGGGAATTTGCGCTAAATTCGAAGTGGTTCGTAGCCCCTGTGCGAGTCTATACTCTTGTAAACTATACGGGATGAATATTTTATTTGAAGGGAGTGAAAGCTGTCAACCCGTATTTTTGGCTGATATTAAAGATGCGGTGTTTGTTGACCTGTCTACCGGACTGGTTAGCACCCATCCGACTCAGAGAAGCACGATGTGCGCAAATGAGTAAGTTGGGAAATAATCAGGCAAATGACAACGCCCCAATAATTTATTCCGTAGTGCCCGTAATGACGCTTGTTGATATCTAGAATCCCAGCATTTTCGCTCTGAGGCTCAAGGTTCACCATATAAAGCCCCACCGTGGTCGGGTCCGGGTTATCGGGTCGGGTTCGTACATGTCGATCCCTTCCCAGCCACTTTATTCAACCAGCAAATGGGAACGCTCCTGGGGTGCACACAGTGATCGAGTTTGTTCGTCTCCACTTATGTTGCTCCATATGTACTTAACCTTGGCCTCGGTGGTAGAAAGGGTGCAGGGATCCCAACACCCTGAAACATTCCCGGCATAATATTCAACTATTGCGGCTCCTGCGGGAGAGGCGCAGAATGGCAAGGGGCGCTATGCACATATGTCCAATTAATTGGAGGGGTTGTAGGGGGAGTTGGCGGGCTGATTTATCCGGAGAATGAGATATAACGGGATGGACCGGGGCCACATACTCTCAGGAATGGAGAATGGGTTGCCTTCTCGGCTCGTATTTGCCGAGTCAGCATTGCACCCTTAGAAAGGTACAAAGTATATACAGAATGCCTGAGTGTCGTACGGTCAGTCATGCCAAGGCGGAGGATCGCATAGTACATCGATTTTGGGTTCGGGGGCAAGCCACCGCGAGAGCTAAAATTAGGTATATATATGTACCGCGCAGGACGCGTTTGGCCCCTACATGACTGCAGGTAAGGCAATTTCGGGCCCAGCCGAATTATGATTTCCAAGGAGAGCAAGGGTTGAACACCGAGGTATGTAGGAAAGGGAAAGTTTATATGTACGGATTAGAGAGCGTAGATATGATCTTCGGTTGGACAAGATACTACATGTAGGTATAATCTCCAGGGTTATACCTGAGCCCCACAGAAAAGTGCAGATGATAGGCATACCACCTTCCCTTTTTAGAACTAGAAAATACACTCTGAGCAAACATCTTGGGGGGTTACAGTACAGAGTATTGAAAGATATATAAGATCAGATTATATAAACTACATATGTAAATCATTTCGAATAGTATAATAGACATATAAAAAAGTATAATCATCTCTGTCAGGTAATCTCCATATCCCATATTAAATTGCAGTATAAACTCAAGTAAACACTGCGGGGGACACATGGGAGGCTAACCATATTAGGATCGTCAGCTGACTAGCCCCGATTAATTCAGGTTTTTGTTTTTTTTTTTTGGTTTTCTTTTCGCTGCATCGCCCCAGCCATGGCGTTTTCCCTTCCTTTTTAGTGTACGGAGTACTCATTTCCCTTTGTTCTTTCCCCCTAATCTTGCATGTGGTTCCCATCTTCCAATTATACGGAGTAGAGAGGTGAACCCTTAACGGGTCTTCCTACGCCAAGGCTATTTACCTAGGTCTGGAGCCTTGGTTCTTATCTACCGTCTTATATTGATTTTTATATCTTGTGACTTTGACCCCCACACCCCCCCCGGAGGATAGAACTCAACGCTCCCGGCCTTCCGTTTGCGGCCGAGTCATCCCCCTCCCCCCAACACCCTTTTCAACCCTGATATATCCGATTCCGGGTTATCGACCATGTCAACAATGTTTCAAGATGCAAGCGACAATGAACATACAAAGAAAGAGGAGAATGATGGGCCTCTTTCGGTAGACGACCTCATACCTTCCATACTTAATCCCGAATCACCACTGCCGTCTCTTCAGATTCGCACCGATCTACCCAGTATTCGTCCGTCCAGTTCGCGAGATTCCGATCCATATGCTTCGACCAGTTTGTCCGGAAGTTATCCACGTCGTACCCCGAGTCTTCGTGCCCTCTTCGCCCCACCTATACACAGCGCGGGTTCCTTGTCCCCGGCATCATTCATGTCCTCACCTCAATTGAATGCGATGGGTGACATAACTCCATTGCCATCGCCAATTGGAGGAGCTGCGCCGTGGCGGAGAGCTGATGTACCGTCGTTATCTCGCTCTTCGTCGATGGCGTCGCGCAATGGTTCTAGTCTTCGCCTGAGCGATTCATCACAAATGCTTGGGCCACCGGTCATGTCCCGTTCGCGCGCCAAACCATATACCGGAATCGATGGCCAGGGAGAAGAGTTATCCGTGAACAATCGGCATCGTCACGACTCGCCATCGAAGCATTCTCATTCTCGGAACCGCAGTTTGAGTGACTATGCACCACCCGGCCGGGTTTCTGTTCCTCCCCGTCCGATTGCTGTGTCAGGGAATGCTGGGCTTGGCATTGCCCCCTCGTCGAGCACCGACTCGAAGTCCAATGGACTTCATCGCGAGCAACATCTCGCTGTTCACCGAGGTATCACATTGCCGACCGTTCGTCCTCCCAGCCCACCTCGCAGCAGTGGCAGTGGATATAATGACAATGAACCGGTTATCCGTCACCCTGCCCCCCTCTCCACGCCCCAGGAGATATACTCTGTCCGGTCGGTCCGCACAGAGCAGGCACGTATTTATCAGAAAGTCCGGGCATTGGGCCAGGGCACGTTCAGCCAGGTCAGTCTGGCAGCACGCGTGGAACCTATTCCCGATATGCCTTTGTCACCGGATGGTGATGGAGCTGGCTCTTTCCACGGGTTTGTGAACCACCAAAAGCTGGTTGCCGTCAAAATCATCGAACATGGACCCGCTGGAGGCGCGGATGAGGGC